GCAGCCTTTGGACTCCTTGAGGGTGTTGAGACGCTCAGTGATAGACTGTGAGAGTGCGAGAAGCTTCGCCCTGAGACGAGCAGAAGTAAGGAAGACGAGAAGAATGAAGAATGAGAAGAGGGGAGGAGGAGAAGGCGGAGAAGGGCCAAAAGAAGGGAGAGCAAGTGGAGGGGGAGGGGGGGTGATCGAGTAGAAGAACAAGAAAATGGCCAAGGAAAAGCGGGAGGGGGGAAGAGGCTCACCTGCCCTCAGGCGATTTCTTGATGTGCAAGATCCTTCCCACGCACTGCATGGCGATCTTCTGCCTCCACAGAAGGTTTCTGAAATACAAGATCACGACCAGGAGGAGAAGACAAGTGAAGGAGGGGAAACAGGAGGAGGAGGAGGAGGAGGAGGAAGAGGAAGAGGAGGAGGAGGAGGAGCAAGGAGAGTAGGAGGAGGAGGAGGAGGAGAAAAGGAGGATTTGCTGGTTTGCAGAGATGAAACAAGAAAGAAGATATAACAAGGAAAAAAGCCATGAGAAGACGCAACAGGAGGGACAAACGAGTGCAGGGACAAGAAGAGACACAGAGAGGACTAGCTGCTGGAGTTGGAGGTGGAGTGCAAGAGCAGGAGAGCCTTACTTGAACCCTGCTTGTTCTCTCAGGTGGAGGGTAAGAGGAGGGAGACTGCGCGAGATGGCAGCGTTGTACTGATCCTGAAGTGAGTGCAGATGATGAGAGAGCTGTCAACTCAGGTGGAAGATGGAAAAGACGAGGTTCAGGAGGAGGAGGCGAAGGGGGAGAAGGAGGGAAAGGAAAGATGACGTAGGAGGGAGACGAGCAGACGGAGCAGAGACGGTGGATGGAGAGGAGGACGCGAATGTCTGACCTCAGTCGCATGCGTGTAGAAGGTTGTCAAACGCACGAGACGTCCCAGGGTATCGTGCTCCCTGATGTGAGTGATGGAGAGCATCTGGAGTAAGCGATCAGCGAATGGGTGAAGGTTTGGGAGAGGCAGGCCAGACAAGGAAGGGGAAGGGGGGAGAAGAGCAGAGGAGGAGAGAACAAGGAAAGGACGAAATCAAGGAGATGAAGCTCGGACCTCGGATGCATCTGAATGGCTTGTGGAGATCTGAGGAAAGCTGGTGAGATCTTGGTACTGTGCTGACGCGAACAAAGGTAGAGCAGACGAGAGGAGGAGAGCAAAGCGAGCAGCACGGGAAAGATGAAGACAAGAAGAGACAGGACAGGACACGACAGGACAGAAAGGACATATACCTTCTCTAGAGTGTTACCGCTCTCTTCCGAGTCCTTCACCTACCGCACACGTCAAGCCTCACAACCTCTTGCTACCATCGCCTTGTTACCGGCTTCATCCAGTTTGAGCCCCTCGAGTGCACCAGGAGGTGAGTTGTAATGGCCTGACGTCTTGAGAGCTAGGGAAAGACGCGTGAGCGATGCTGGCCAAGATTGATGCGATGAGGCAGTGAGCAATGTGAAGGAAGAGCAGCAGCAGCAGAAGCAGGAGGAAGGAGTAAGAGCAGCAGCAAACGAAGAGAGGAGGGGAGGAAGGAGAGAGGGGGGAGGAGCTTGTAAGCAGCCGACCATATCGTCGACGAGGTAGCAGATGAAGTCGATCTCGCTGTTCTCCCGTCAGTGAGGGGAGAGGGACGAGGAGGAGGATCCTATCACCTGCACGGGAGAGGGGCGGAGTGACTTCTGAACCTGATGGGTTGCGGTCAGACAGGAGCAGACTAGCAAGAGTGCGTGAGGGAGTAGGGAGGAAGAAAACAGAGAAAGAAACGATGCAAGGGCTAGGACAAACGGAGGTGAGAGGAGGGAAGAAGAGAGGATGAAGGGAAGGTGTGCGGGAGGCGAGAGGGAGTGTTGTCACCTGCACATGAGCTCTTCAGTCGTCACCCCAAGAAGCTCCGCCAGCCGGGATCCAAACATGATCTCCTTCCTCTTCCCGCTCTCTGCTCACGAGCAGGTCAGCAACTCGGCAGCTGCTGCCCGTTGCTCGTCCTACCAGCATCCAGCTCTATGCTCATCCAAGTGTTCAGTCTGCCGGATCTTGCGAGCCTC